GGCTGGCTGAAGCTGGGGTAGATTGCAGCATCCAGACCCTTTTGGGGTGCTTACTGTCTCCTTGTCTAACTCTCTCTCATGGAAGAAACAAGTAAATACATTTTTAAAAAAGCAGTAAAGAGGGTTAGAGGAATAAAGATGACATAGGAGAAATAGAAAACACAAAGGAAAATGACAGACATAAATCCAATTGTATCAATAACTACATAAAATGTTAATCAATCAAATTCTGCAATTAAAAGCTAGAGAATGTAAAACTGAATTTTTCAAAAATACAACCCCACCCTGTCTAACAGAATCACCCTTCAGATTCAAAGAAACAAATATTAAAAGCAAAAGCATCTAAAGAAGGATACACAAACATGAGAAAAGCTACACTAGAAAGGTACAAGAAATTGTATACTGAAGTAGTTATACTAATATCAGGCGAGACAGACTTTAAAAAGTTATTCAAAAATAATGAGAAATATTTTATAATAATGAAAGGATATATCCATCAGTAAAAAAGAACCAGTGTAAATATCTGCATCTAATAAAATTTCACCAAAATATGTAAAGAAAAAAGATGAAAATTCACAAATAATGTTGAAACTTCACTACATAACTTACATTCATAAAGAACTAATCAAGAGAGCAACCTGGAGCAGAAGCAGCATTTCAGCCCCACTAGATTCCATCTAACAGCAACAGAGTGTACATTCTTCTCAAATGCACATGAACTTTATTCAGATACACTCTATGCTAAGCCATTAAAAAATATGAAAAAGGATGAAAATACCTCACAGGATGCATTTAAATCACAATAGTGTATACCTGGAAATTAATAACGCAAAGAAGTAAGGGAAATTTAGATATGTGGGGTTAAATAACACACTCCAAAAGTCCAAAAGGGTCAAAGAAATCAATGGACTCATTAGAAAACTCATCGAGGGCCAGCCATGACCCTGTGGTTAAGAAGGCTGGACTCTACATGGCTGACTATGCAGACCATGTCCCAGACCTGGGAGCTTGAAAATTTGCCAGGCATATGTGTGTGCATGCTCAAAGTCCCAAAAAGAGGTCAAAGTGTAGGTTTAGGGATTTCAGTGTGTTCATATCCCAAGAGGGTATGCTTTCTCTCTCTCTCTCCCCCTCTCTCTGTCTCTCTCTCTCTCTTTCTCTCCAGTATGGTGTCTGACAAATTTTTTAAAATAGAAAAAAAGGAAGAAAATACACTTAAATAACTGAAATATACAATATGCATAATTGGAAGGTAGCTAAAAAGTGCTTATTGGATATTCTATAGCTTGTAATACTTACATTAAGAAAGAATTATCTCAATCAAACTTAAACTTCTATATTAAGACACTAGCAAAAGAAGCACAAATATAGTTTAAAGTAAGCAGAAGTAAGGAAGTAATAAAAAAATTACAGAACAAATTAGTGAAATAGAAAACAGAAAAACACAGGGCCAGCAGGTTGCATGGAGGTTAAAGTGCCATGGTGAACCGTGGTTTGAGTCCCAGACCCCATGGCTTGAAAATCGCTCCAGATGCATGTGCATGCATGCTCCAAATCCTAAAATCCTAAGAGGAGAATGGATTGTGGCATGGTTATCCCCACTAAGGTGATTTTGCACTTTCTCTCACTCTGTCTCTCTCTGGTAAGTACATGCACCTTATGGCAAAAAAAAAACTAAGAAGAAAAAAAAGAAGAAAGAAAAACAATAGAGAGTAACAATGAAACCAAGAGTAGTTTCCTAAAAGATCAACAAAATTGACAAATCTTTAACTCCATCAATCAAAAATAATAGTTACAGAATAATAATATGAAAAATGATATTGCAAATATATTAGATAATTCAGATGAAGTAGACAAAACTTTACAAAGGTAAAAATTATAGAAATTGACTTTAGGAAAAAATGATCTGAATAGATCTCTACAAGGGAAGAAATTGTATTAATATTGAAAAACAAAAATGCAAGAAAAAATCCTACATCCAGATATTTCACTGGGAAATTGTACCAAACATATGAAGAAAATTTAATATCATTTTTTTCCCAAATTCTCAAAAATGTAGAAGTGGTAAAATACTTCCCAACTCATTTTATGAGGCAGTATTACCATGACATAAAAACTGTTCAAAGACATCACAAGAAAAATTTAGATCAATGTATCTTGTGACTATACATTAAAAAGTCTTCAGAAAATACAAAAAAAATCCAGCAACGTATAGAAATCATTTTACATCCTAACCAAAATGGAGTCATTCCAGGCATACAAGATTGGTTAACAGACAAAAATTATTTAATACAATATAATATATTGGGACCAGTAAATGGTGTAATGGTTACGATGCTAGGTTTGCATGTAGACAACCACAGTTCAAGTCCTGGCAGCTTAAAACTCATGCCAAGCATGTGTGTATTGGTACCCAAAAATCCCGAGAAGAGAATGGAAGAGAAGGGATGGTGGTGTGGCCATCCTCTCTGAGGGGTGATTTCTTACTTTCTCTCTCTCCATCTCTCTCTCTGTCTCTCCAACAAGCTCATGCACCATATAACAAAAATCTCTAAATATCAATACAATAATAACAAAGACACATGACCATCTTTTTTTTTTTTTGAGAAGTTTTCGCTATAGGGCACGTGCGCTCGCCAGACAGAGAGAGACAGAGAGACAGAAAGCGAGAAATCACCTCCCAGGGGGGATGGTCACGCCGCAATCCCTTCTCCTCCATTCTCCTCTCGGGATCTTGGGCATGCACGCACACGCGCCCGGCGTGAGTTTTAAGCCACCGGGTCCGGGACGCGAACCACGGTCGACTATGTGGGAGTCCAGCGACATAGCCATTACGCTAACTGATGGTTCCCAACATGCCATCTTAATTCATTAAAACAAATTTGACAAAAACTACCATTCTTTCATGGTGAAAATATTCAAGAGAATAGGCATAGAAGAAAGCATCTTCAAACTGATTAAAAATCACATGAAAAATCCATAGTAACGTAATACTTAATGGTGAAAGCCTGAATATTTATGTCCTAAGATCAGGAACAACATAAATATCCACTCTTCTTCTTCTTTTTCTTTTTTCTTTTCTTTCTTTTTTTTTTTTTTTTGAGACATATTTTTGCTGTAGGGCATATGTGCTTACTGGAGAGACAAAGAGACAGAAAATGAGAAATAACCCCAGGGGGAATGACCACACCACAATCCCTTCTCCTCCATTCTCTTCTCAGGATTTTGAGCATGTGCACACTCGTGGCCGGCGTGAGTTTTAAGCCGCCATATCGGAGACTCAAACCACAGTTGACTACGTGGGAGTCCACCAAAGTAACCATTATGCCATCTATTGATCCCAACATAAATATCCTTTCTAAACATATCTATTCATCATTGCAATGGATAACTGGGACAGTTTGGAGACAGAAATAAATCAAAGGCATTTGTATTGGAAAGGAAGAAGTACAATTATCCTTATTCACAGATAACATGATTATGTAGTTGGAAAAATCATAAGAAATTCATTAAAAACTATTAGAACTAATGAACATGTCTAAAAAAGTAACAGAAAACAAGATTACTATACAAAAATCAATTGCATTTCTATATAGAAGAAACGAACAATCCAAGAATGAAATTAAGGAAACAATTTTAGTTACAATGAACTAAAAAAATATTTTGGAACATCTTTAACAGAAGTATGAGTTTTGAACACTGAAAACTACAATATGTAGATAGTGTTGGAAATACCTTGGTATCATCACTGAGCCTCCCATCCTTGGCACTGAGGACTTACCTTCGTAGGGGAAGTAAAGGGACTGCATTCTTGGCCTTTATCAGAGGTGGGATCATGATGAAATATACACATTCAAGTGTATAGTGCTGTCTTCATTATTATGCATGTAATACTGAAGCTCACAGAGAGAGAGAATGGTGATTGATATCAGAGATCAGAATATCAGGCAGTGAACACCCCACACCAATCATCTTGTATTCAAGATCATGCTAATTGGTGTTTAAGAGACACCTGAGATCTAGGGGTGTGAGGAAGGAAGGCTGGGGATTCCAACATCTGAGGCAAGAGGGCTCCTGTATGATCAAAGCTTTCTGGATCTTCAGAATGGGGCAATTGTAGGATCAGGGAAGGTACAGGAATTTGAAAAAAAAAATCAGTCCATATGTTAACATTGAAAACCAGGAATAGGTCTTTGGCTAGACTCAAACCTCTCACACCTCTCATTCACCCAACCCCAAAGTTCATCCCCCTTTCACCATACCTCCTACCCCACAATAAAGCCCACATCGACCGGCAGAATTTGAGCCAGGCATTCCTCTGGTTGAATAGGAACAGTTGTGGTAGCAGCAGCTCTTAGAAATCGATGTGAACTCCGTGACTATTTTGTGGCAGCAACCAGAGAAAGAAAGACAAAGTTCAAGTCCACCTCACAGAAAATGTACAATAAATAACAAAAGATTTAACTGCTGGATAGATGGATAGAACTTGGGAGTTCCTGAACAAATAATTACCAGACACTGGAAGTGTAAATTGGTCCAAGGATTATGAAGTGCATCTACTCTATAACTTTGCTATTGAGATACTCGCTAGGCAGTTAGGCATTAAAGGAGCCATAATGGAATACTGACAAAAAAGGGGTTACTTAAAGGCAGCCAGCTGAGTCTCCCTCTTTGAAAACTTACATCCTCCTCTCTAACCCTCACCTTTTCAGGCCAAACCATTACAGACCTCACCACAGGACATACAAAAGTATAATTAGAGTCAAAGTGCAAGGCCTTTCTTAATTCCCAAATTTATCTAAGTTTGACAGAAAACTCACCTGGGTCCGATGGAAAGCCCCAGGTATACAGAGAATGGTACCAGAGAAATTCACTGGTGCCAAGGATTCAAAAGGGCACCCATAAAACAAGCCCAAATAATACGAAATCTCTGTGACTATTAACCAATACTTTTTCTTTTCTTTTCTTTTTTTTTTTTGCGTAGATGTTTTTTCTTTTATTATTTTTTCCTGATACACAATTTTCTTCACATACTGCCACTAACGGCCCATTTCTGATTCCAATTGCTTCTGTATCTTGAGGATGAGTGGCTGCAAACCTTCCTACACTCCATTTCTCTCCCTCCTCTCTTTTTTTAAAGAATGGTTACTATGTTCCTACCAGAGTTCTGTGGTTTGGTTATCTCCTTACCCTAGCCCAAACCCACCCTCACTCACAGTTGGTATATTCTAACTACTGCCTGGGGAGATATAATTACTATCATGGCTACTCTAGTAGATCCACTATGCCCATGACATTTTGACTCAACAAATTTACTATCACAACAACTAAGAATAAAATTATCATGAAGCTCCTTACCCCTCTCATATACAGGCTCAGTTTCTTTATCAGTATTCCTGCTCAGCTGTTCTTGTAGACCCTGGTATGTATTCCAAAATTCTTCATCCTGGGACACACCCACTTGTTGGGATTCTGTTGGCTTCAGCTTGAAGCCTGAGGCCTCTGCTGTTTCTCCCAAGAGCACTGTCTCTTTTCTCAGCTCAGGGACTGCAACCTAGAAATAGTCCCCATCCTTGTTACCATAGAATTGATTTGGTACGAAGGGTGGAGGTAGAGGGAATATTGAGTGTACAGCCTAGATTATGAGAACTATGAGACACTAAAGGAAATGACAAAATGCGTTAAAGAGGAATTAGGCTGCCAACGTTCCACAAAGAGCTATCCACAAATCTGAGAAAACTAGGATCAAAGGACACTGTGGCTACTGCCAACCCTAGAACACAGGAGTCTCCTCTCAGCATACAGTCCAGCTCAAGCCACTATCATGGTTGAGTAGGCTATCTATGCTCATGGTGCCTTGTCAGGCCCTTACTCTTGACTTAGATCCTCCCCCAGGAGGTTTCTCGTCTTCCAGTTTTCACTAAAAATCAAAGAAATAAATAAACAAGTTTTCCCCTATGACATGGAAGGATTTCAGAGAATGGGATTAGAAAAAAAGGGGAAACAGTGCCTCCAAGCTACCTCCAAATAATTCTGACATAAACCATGTGCATCCTGCCTGAGGCTGGCAGGTAGGCTGCCACCTGCCCAGTAGCACAACACGCTGTCCACCTCCCAGAAGAGCCTACGAATAACTACTGAGGGTAGTGGTGGCTCTTTGGTAGGGAAAACTATTTTGCACTTTCTTTTCTTTCTGAAATCTCTCTTCTACTTTTTATTTTCATTTATAATCTTATCCGACTTGTTTGATTTCTCCTTTTTTGTTGTTGTTGTTGAGATTTTTTGTTATAAGGCACGTGTGCTCTCCAGACAGAGAGAGACAAAAGGAAATCACCCTCCAGGGGCATGGTCATGCTGTAATCCCTTCTCCTCCATTCTTCTCTTGGGATTTTGGGCATGTACACACATGCACTCAGTGAGTTTTAAGCCTCCAGGATCAGGATTTGAGCCTCGGTTGACTACGTGGGAGTTCAGCAACATAACCATTATACTATCTGTTGGTCCCGTCTCTCCTTTTGCAATGTCCTTGCTCTCCTTGGGTCTCTAAGTGTTTGATTTTTTGGATCTGTCCTCTCCTGACTTTACTGCTTTGTAATTTTTTCTAAGAACTCAAGTCCTACCTCCTTGGCCAAGCCTGACTAGGCCCATCACCCTCAATTCACCCTGGCTTTGAGGGCAAAAAGTAATGTTTTTCCTAAAGGAAGGAAAGTCTCTACTATAATCTCTGAAATCTGTGGACTGACTTTTGCTATGGGCCTATTAGTTGCAAATCCTGCCTTAACAGCCCTAAAGGAATAATAAATCAGCAGCCAAATTCATCTCATTTCTTAACTGTCCTCATCCCCAATTTGTCCAGCTGCATCCTATTCAACTATACATGTCAGGAACCTTTCTTCTCACCCCATTCCTTGTTTGACCAGATTCCCTCTGCAAGTGTTCTACCAGGGCTACAGTTTCCTTGATACTCTGTGGATGGTGCTTCTCCATCTGGGTCTGAGTCTCCCTGGGCAGAATGGTCAGAAAGTGCTCTAGCACTAGCAGTTCCAATATCTGTTCTTTTGAGTGGACCTCTGGCCTCAGCCACAGATGGCATAATTCCTGAAGTTGGTGGACAGCCTCATGGGGTCCAGCTGCTTCACAATAGTGGAAGTTCCGGAAGTGCCAGCATGAACTCTCAGGACTGAGATCCACGGTCTGTGGAGAGTTTTCACTCTGACTGGCGATGTCTCTCACCGGCCCTTTGAGCTCCCATAGAGCCCTGATCTGAGGGTCCAAATACTCAGCCACCTTCAAATGTACCATCATCATTCTGTTCAAGGAAGTTCTGCACCTAGGCCTGACACCCAACTGGTGCCACTTTTACAGGTGACGTTCCCTCTGAGTTGGTACAAAAATCAGTAAAAGGATCTCTTCCTGACACTACTCAGCTTCCATGGGGCCGCTGGTGACAGCCGCCGGCGAGGAGCACAGCTCCCTCGGTGCCACCCGTGTCCACCCGGCTCCTCTCTTTCTTTTCTTTTCTTTTTGTAGAAGTTTTTTCCTATAAGCGTGTGTACTCTCCAGAAAGACAGAGAGACAGAAAATGAGAAATCACCTCCCAGGGGGGATGGCCACGCTGCAATCCCTTCTCCTCCATTCTCCTAGGGATCTTGGGCATGCACACACATGTGCCTGGCGTGAGTTTAAGCCACCGGGTCCGGGACTCGAACCGTGGTTGACTACATGGGAATCCAGTGACATAGCCATTATGCTAACTGCTGGTCCCTTAACCAATACTTTTTTGAAAAAAAAAAAAAAAGTCTTATAAAGCTTAAGGTTCTTGCCATAGGAGGGGGGCTACTTACTTACTTTTTAAAGCAGTATCTCAATGATTAACCTGGCGGCACCACATTCCAGGAAGAAGGTAATGGTCTTCTATGGCCCAAAGAAAGGTTTTCGACAAAAAGAGTTTCCTGACCTTCATACCCACTCCAAAATTATAAGAAACCAGACTCATCTATCATGAGACCCCTATGGGAGAAACATATACACAACCCACTCCTGAGAACAACCCATAACAAAGCCCCTCCTAAACAAGATAAAAACCCTCACTCAGCAAGTGGTGCAGTTGTTATGGTGCTGGACAGCCACATGGTCAACTATAGTTTGAGTTCCAACCCAGAAGCTTGAAATTATTTCCTGGTGCATGTGTGTTTGTACTGAAAATCAGGAGAACAGAGGAGAAGGGATTACAGCAAGGCTATCCCCCCAGGGAGATTTCTCATTTTTTGTCCCTCTTTATTTCCAGTGAGTGCATGCACCTGATAGCAAAAATCTCTCAAAAACAAACAACCCCCCCCAAGCCCCATTCACCTCAGTTCCTCTTCAGCAACCCATTTTCTGGTACTATTCCCTGCCTGGGAGTTCTGTTATTCTTTCTCTCCAATAAACTCTCTGCTTTACTGTCCCTTCCCTGTGTCTGCATCTCTAATTCTTCCTGAGTGTGAGCCAAACACTTGGGTTTGGTGGGACCAGTAGGTAGCATACTGGTTAAGGGGCTGGACTACCAGGTAGTTCACCATGGTTTGAGTCCCGAACCTGGCGGCTTGAAACTCACACTGTGTGCATGTGCATGCGTGCCCAAAATCCCAAGAGGAGAATGGAGAGGGGATTATGGTGTGGCCATACTCCCTAGGGATTAATTTCTCGCTTTCTGTCTCTTTCTCTCTCAGTCTCTCTGGAAATCTCTTTCAAAAAATAATCAAAAAATCTCTTTCAAAAAATAATCAAAATAAAAATAAATACAATAAAAAGAATTAGACTTACTGATGTTCTTGCATTGGATATTGGGCCCACACCTCTCCCCATCTTATCTTGTCACTACTTCAGTTCATTCTATACATTAGTGTTTCCAACTGTGTAATATAATCCATTGACATTTCAAAATTATTTAGTAAGTGAGATAAGACATTGTCAAGATAGTTTTTAATAGGTTGGAAGAGAGTTGCCATAATTTCTGTTAACAAGTTAAAATAGAGACATGATTTGTTTTTCATGCTTTACAATGTATCTGTCAAAATAGAGGTAAGGTCTATAACAGCAATACCTAAGCAGACTTTTTTTTTTAGAGAGAAAGAGATTTTTGTTATAGGGTGTGTGTGCTTGCCAGAGAAAGAGAGAGACAGAAAGAGAAAACACCGCCCAGGGAGGATGGCCACACCGAAGTCCCTTCTCCATTCTCCTCCCGGATTCTGGGCACCCTCGCACACACGCTTCCCGTGAGTTATAAGCCACCAATCTGGGACTCAAACCACAGACGACTACGTGGGAGTCCAGCCACATAACCATTACACCACCCGACGTTCCCTGGACTCTTAAAAAATACACACTCATATTGATGAATTCACCCAGACTTTAATTCCTTCACTATCGTTACAGCGCTCTCAGTTTTCATAAGAGGATTTAATGAAGAACTAGAACTCCTCGTGTCTGTCTCGTGATCGGAGACCATTCTGGATCCTTAAGGTGCGGGTCTCTTGGTAGAGTCACCGTAAATAAACAAAACCTCCTGCATTGGCGCTGCCGGGATCGCAGAGCCTGGCGGGAAATGAAGTCTTTGCCTCTAGTGACCTGCCGCTCCCGCCCCCCGCACAGGATGATGGGAACGGCTCTTCCGCCTTCCTTCTGCGCATGTGCAGCTCCACCCACTCCGCCATCTTACTCCGGAAATTCCAGCTCTTGCGGCTTTTCTTGTGCTTGTCCTGCAGACCTGGGGATGGGTTCTGTGTTCCTGAAGGTGGGTGCTGGATGAAAGAGGCCGGCCGGCCTCTGGGAAACCTGGGGAGCATAGGGGTAGGACGGCCGCTCGAACATTTGCGGGAGCAAAAATGTCGGTGTGTCTTTGGCGGGTGAGGCCTCCCGGGCAAGGAGAGCAGCTGGCCTGGGCCGGATCCGGGAGTGGGACAAAAAGCACGCGACTCCACAGGACCCGGGCTGGGGATCGGGCTGCTGGGGCTGGGTGTTGAGTGATTTGTCAGGAGACTGTGCTGTCAGAATCTGGGTTTGTGTTGCCATGTGAACGAGCGGTGGCTCCAGAGGTTCCGCGAATGGGGCGGTCAGGTCCCAGATGGGGACGGCGGCGAGGGGTGTCGGGCGTTGTGCAGACAGCGTGAGCGGGGCAAGTGTGTGAGCGGGTCAGTGTTCTGCCGTTTGCCGCTGCAGGACCCTGTTACTGTCCTATAAGACATTCCGTTTACTGGCTTGTAAGATGAGTGTATTAGCAATACCAGGAAAATGTTCCTAGGTTCCCAGAGCAATAGTTGTGAAGTGTGTACAGAGCAAATCTTAGCTATGTGGCAGTTTTACTTGTCGGGTTTCTTGGTGTTTGAGAAACCGCTGTAATGCGAAAATAAACATTGCTTTAGAAGACCTCGCTTAAAACAGTCTGATGTGCAAACAGTTGTCACGTGGCCTCTGTTAGGGCATTCATCCACTTGACATTCATCATGATTTTTAAAACTTCTGGTTGTGGTGTTTATTGGTTGTATTTGGCACGCACTTGTAGACTCCGTGCCATATATAATTTTGTTAACAACATTAAATTCTGGGGGCTAAGGCATATCAGTTAGCATTTGATGCGTAACACGACCACAGTTTCTTGCCTTAAAAAACTACCTTTTTATTTACTTGTGATACCATGACTCTACACAGAGAGTTTGCTCTCTCAGCTGGCCAGTCCGTGATGGTGTTACAAATGAAGCTGTAATCTTTAGATGCCTTGACTGAGGTTGACTGGACGCAGGTGGGTTCACTCAGTGTCTGATGGTTGGCGGCTCTTGGCTAGGACATGTGTACCCAACAGGCAGGCCCCAGGCTTCTTCATTAGATGACAGTATTCCAAGAAAGCAAGTGGGCAAGTACTTTTCAACCTGTTAGTGTCATATTTACTTAAGTCCTGTTGGCCAGAGCAAGTCAAATGACAAAACCCAGGGTCTTTATGGTGAGAGACTATACATGTAGTCAGAGTATGTCACTTGAAGTCATTAATAGACTAGTGTACCACAACTAATAGGCATTATGTATATTTTTCATATGTAATTGTGACCCAAAAATGTCGGATAAGATGCATACTTTCTATGAAGATTAGTATTTAAGGATGAGTATTTAAGCATGATGCTGTGTGATATGCTCCTATTAAATCAAAAAAGTTAGCAATACAGTTCAAGTATAGTTCTGTAGTTTTGGTGAAGGCCTCATTTTTTTTCCTATGATGTACTGTAATTTATTTAAGTAGCTATAAAATGTTTACTGAATTCTTAGTAGGTGTTCTAATTGTTTCTAAATCAGTAGGAAATACTAGGTTACCTGGAAAGTTATGACATATTTTTCTGTTTTTTTTTTTTGTTTTTTTTTTAAGCAAAAATGCATCATGACTTTCCTGATGACCCAATAAATGTTTTCATTAACCCAATGGTAAAATGTGTGTCTAATCTCTGTCAATTAATGGGCTTATGAGCGCTCTCTCAATGGGTTCTTACGTCCTCCTTCTCAAGGAGTAAAGGACTATCCTCCCATGAGAAGGCTTTTTTTCCTGGTCTTTTCCAGCTAATGGGTATAGAGTTTTGGGCAAGAAAACCTACAAGCAAGCCATATCTTCCTTCATGACTCCATTGCATTTTCTTCCTCTTCTGGCTATACTTCAGAGATTTCTGTGCATTTCCAAATGCAATTGAAAATGAATTAATTTCTAGTAAGTTGTTTATTAATGTATTCATTAGCTTGTTTTATATTGTATTTTATAGCTTTGTAAGATTTCATAAATTCGAGGCTGGCAGGTGGCATTGTGGTTAAGGGTGCTGGATTCCCACTTGTCGGACTGCAGTTTGAGTCCTGGGCCTGGCAGCTTGCTTTCTCACTTTTCCTTTCTCTATCTGTCTCTGTCTGGTCTGGTCAAATTAAAAAATAATAATAACAAATGGAATTAATAAATTAATAATTCTTTTTTTTTTTTAGAGGTTTTTGCTATAGAGCACGTGTGCTCGCCAGACGGACAGAGACAGAGAGATAGAAAGCGAGAAATCACTCCCCAGGGGGGATGGCCATGCCGCAGTCCCTTCTCTTCCTCCTCTCAGGATCTTGGGCACTCATGCACATGGACCTGGTATGAGTTTCAAGCCACCGGGTTGAGGATGCAAACTGCGGTCAACTACATGAGAGTCCAGCAACATGGCCATTACACTAACTGCTGGTCCCATAAATTAATAATTCTTTAAAAAAAGATTTCATAAATTCAAATGGAAAAGCAAAAATAAGTAGAATTCAGTTTCTAGGAAATATACATAAGCAAGATCAAGCAGGCATGCAGATATAGGCAGTTTTTATTATCTCAGCATCTCATCTGAGTTAAGTGTAAATTAATCTCTGGTCTTTCTGATGCCATGATAAAAAGCGAGCCATAATTCAGATTGACCCTTAGATGAGAGCCTGCTACATTCCATGGGACATGAAGATTTGATGGCACTGAAGTCTGAAATAATGATTTTATTGGTTGTATAGGCAATGTAACAGACAGTGTTTTACTGCCATCCTAAAATAAACATTTTCAGCTTTTTCCCATGATAACAGTTTACCTAGTGCTAAAGTCCAACTCACTTAGTTAGGATTTTCTGGAGGTGCTAAAATAATGTCACAGACAGCTTTTAGAAGGCCCTACTTGTTGCATGGATCAAACCTGAACTATCTGGAGGATTGAGTAAACCCCAGATCTTGAAATAATCCTCCATATGTTTCTCTCAGCTTGTCTGTACATTTGGGGTATGTAGCAGATGGTTTAGTTATATGTTCTGCCAAATATTTCTGCTGCTCATTTATACCTTAGCCTACACAGTGTAGTCTTTGTGATTTCATGTAAATTAACCAATAATCTAAATTATAGTCAAACCCAGTGACTGACTATCTTCTAGAGTTTCCCTTACTTGAATATACTGCTACTTTTGAAGCTGCAATCCATCTCTTCTCTTGGGAATTCTGTTGGTTTCTATCACAGCTCTTATTTCTTCCCCTTAACATGGTTTATTCAAGTGTTCCACTTGTTCCCCATTCATTCCATGCTGCAGGTCTCATTTACCTATTTGACCCTCTGTGGTTTGACACACTTTTTATTTCCAGTTTGTACTTCTTCCTCACCCTTTAGAGCATAAGTTTAACTCCCTGTTGAATGCTTCTTTGTAGCTATCCAAAAATACCTCATGCTCAACCAATTTGAGACGAAAAGTACATTCTCCTCTTTTTCCCTTACTTGTAATATTCCTACCGTCCAGCCAGTGACCCCAACAACCAAAATGAAACTTCTACAGTCCTCACTCTCTCAGGTTTAATCTCTTCTCTTTTCACCTTCAGCTACTTTTGTTTGTGTGTTCTTTTGGTTTGATTTTAATGTCCACATACATGCTGGTAAAGGAAGAGAAGCTGTTGGTACTTACGAACTTTATTTTTGCATTGATACTGTTATTGCTGGCAAAACCTGAAGATTATATTTGCACAGAGGTGAGGTTGGATCCCTTTTGAACTGGGCTACTTACCAACAAGTGTGGTGACAGCCTTAGGGGACCTGTGAGAGATTATTCAGAAGTTAGTCGGCCATGGGAACCAGCAGTTAGCATAATGGCTATGTCGCTGGACTCCCACGTAGTCGACCGCGGTTTGTGTCCCGGACCCGGTGGCTTAAAACTCACACCGGGCGCGTGTGCTTGCGTGCCCAAGATCCTGAGAGGAGAATGGAGGAGAAGGGATTGCGGCGTCACCATCCCCCCTGGGGGGTGATTTCTCGCTTTCTGTCTCTATGTCTCTCTCTGTCTGTCTGGCGAGCGCACGCGCCCTACAGTGAAAATCTCTCCAAAAAAAAAAAAAAAAGAAGAAGTTAGTCGGACATTGGGGCCAGCAAGTGATGTGGTAGTTAAAGGCGCTGGATTCCCACATGGCCAACCACAGTTCGAATCCTGGACCTGGCGGCTTGCTCCCTTTTTCTTTATCTCTCTCTGGTCAAATTTAAAAATAATAATAAATAGAAATAAGTAATTCTTAAAAAAAAAAAAAGAAAAAGAAGTTAGTGGGACACATTTGAAGACTAGTCAAGAGAAAGGTACAAAGAATAAAAGAAAATACAGATTTTAATAATTTGTACATTTTGCTTATATGAATTTTACCCATCATTCTATCTGTAGTTTTTATTAATACTCAGGTGTATGTTTCTAACTCAAAAGTGATTCATTTTCAAATTCTTAAAGACTGTATTTACTACTTCTGGTTTTTCAGTTAATCACTTTAAAATGAGTAGATAAAAATAATGTGTGCATCAATTGTAAATGTGATTATGGAGCCCGAACTTGTTTAATAGTTGGTTAACTATTTTATTATGATAAAATATACATTACCTAAAATTTATTATTTTAATAACATTTAAATGTAACGTTAAGTGGTATTAAGTATATTCACACTGTTATGCCACCATTATCTTAGCCATCTCTAAAATTTTTTTGATCTTTTCTCAAGTGAAACTGTACTTATTAAATGCTAACTCCATATTTCCTCTTTCTCCTCTTCCTGCTAACCACCATTTTACTATCTGCGAATTTAACTATTCTATGAACCTCATATAAGTAGAATTATACAATATTTGCCCTTTTGTGTTTGGCTTATTTCACTTAGCATAATGTTGTCAGGGCTCATCTATGTTGTAGCATGGGTCAAAATTTGTTTTTGTTTTTGTTTTTTTTTAAAGAATCAGTCATTTTCGTT